AAGGGGGGTGGTGGGAGCGTGAGGGGTTTGGGGGGTGTGGTTCTTATTCTTTTCGGGATTTTGGGGGGCTTGATGATGAGTTGAGGATGCCGTGGGTTGATGAGAGTGTGTAATGAGCCTTGGGGGACGTTGAATTGATACGGTGTGGGCCATCGTCATGTTGATGAGAGTGTACAATCAGTCTTGGGGGAGGTTGGACGTTGAATGTTTAATTGATGTGATGTGGGGGACATCATCGTGTTGATGGTGGGATGGTGTTTCGTGTGTTGGGAAGTTGCGACTCAAAGTTGGTGGATGAGCTGGTGTGAGATTATCCAAGGGACCTGGTGGAAGTCCAGAATTGAGACGCTGAGTATAGAAGTCATCACCAAAGTGCTATTTTTATGGACTGGCACTTGGGTTGATATCTGGGCTTGTGGAACTCGGCGGTACGCCTTTACAGGTGGAACAAGTAGGACAGAAATCTGGGTCTCCAAAGCTTCAAAGACGCGCGGAATGGAATTGAAGATTGGGACCGAGGAGCGATATTGAGCCAATCTTTATCCAGGGGTTGCGTCTTTTAACACTGTTGAGTATTCGAAATGCATTGATTGAGGAGTTTCTACCATGGGCGTTATGGCGAAGGAAATACCCATCTTTGAGTTTGTTTTTTCAAGCAAGAATTGATGGGGATATGGAATGAAAATGAAGAATTTATGTTTGCTTCCATTGGGCTGTTTCTAAAGTGGTTGATCTTATGTGCTGTGACTTTTTTATTAGGCGATCGTTTTTGTCGCTTACTTTAGGGGAAACCTTTGTGAGGTTGTATTGTGACTGTGCTATTGAGGAACGTATAATTGTCGTTCTAGTAGACCTTCTTTCATTATTAGGCGCTATGAACAGTCAGTTTTGTGGGATAATTGATAGAGCTATCAAGAACAGTTGTCAGATGTGGTTGGAGTCGGAAGACTTGTATTCCCTGCGCTACAAATACAGCTACTACTTGTACTAGCGCCAGAGTACACTAGTCCAAGAGGAGCGGTGGAGTGCAGTAATATGCCAGGCATATTCACCAAGGGGACGATTCCTAGCAACAAACTACGCAACACCACATTTACCAAGAGAATGTCAACGCAAGTAACTGCAGGAGCAAACTAAGAAGTGTAAAACTCTTTCTTGTTGAATTATGAGAATGTGTACAAGAGCAGATTGTGACTGTCCTGGTTGCCTGCCAACTTAATTATTTACTATCCACTCATACAGATTTTCCATAGGGGAGCGCGTTGTGAAATTTGCTGCACAAGACGCGTGAATGAACCGATCTGAACTACGATGCGTGTCTACGCGTATCTGCCAATCAGCGCGTTATCTCAAGACTGTCCGATTTTTACCTTTATTCAAACTAATTGTCAACGCCAGTGCCTCAAATTCCGACTCAAACAACATTGCCTTCCAACCGTAACTATTTGAGGACCCACCAAAAGATCAACAACTTTGAAGACCGCTGGCAAACGATCTCTCAAAATGGTGCACACATTTGAGGCCCTCAAGCAGAAGGTGGGTGAGGGCAATCTGCCTTCTTTTGTGAAGTGTCCTCCTTGCGTCTATCCATCTTCTATGGTTGGTGATCCTTCTCATCTCTCTGACATGCAGTCGGTTTTTACAGATCAAGGGTTCTAACATCAAGTAGATTGTAACAGATCACGATGGGACTGAGAAAAAGATTGTGCTACTACAGGTATCTGAAGACAGCAAATACCATCTAGAATCTCTACTACGTTAAATGGAGGCCGGACTTTTGAGTGGTGATGAGGCACCATGGCCGATCAGGGATTGCAAAGTTCAACGTGTATTTGGATATGCACCCAATGAAACATCAGAAAGCCAACCAAGCCAACCAAGTCAGCCCATCTTCTTGACCAAAAAGCAACAGGAGAACTTTCTTGTCGAGTTCTTCCCAAGACTTCCACTCATCGCCAAACGAAGAATTGTGGAGCTTTGCGGAACATTACACCCTCAACGTGTGGTAAGTTGTTTTCTCAAGATTGTTACCACGAGAATATACATGAAGCCATCCTCCCAGAATCTCAAAGGATCTATAGCACACATCATTTTCTGGATAAATAAACAGACTCTCCATACCAGAGCCAACAGGCGGGAAAGAAGTTCGTAAACTAATTCTGGCATAGGTTCTCAATGGACGCCCCCAACACATGTTTTCCCCTCCAGGACCAGACGAAGAGCATATTGTTAGAGAACTCGAAGCTATCAATTTGGGTATCCAGACTCTGCCTCACAAACTCCAGGAGAGAATATTCTCCTACCTTCCAGCTCCATACCCCGAGCACGTGAACCAAATCTTCAATCACCAATCTATCAGCCACCATCCCACAGGATGCTCAGTACATAACGTTGGCGTACCGGGCGACATAGTATGCAACGGTGGAGTCAGATATCAGGCCTCAGGATTCATGTTCGCAAGCAAGAAAATACTTGCCGGGGTAATTGAAGAGTTGGGCTGCTATAATATGTTGACAATTGAGAGAGATGAGATTGGAGCCAGTCAAGATACAGCAATTTTGCCTGCGTCTATGAGTAGATCCGACGACCATGTTCAAAGAGAAACCGGCCAGATCATCAATTTTCAACGGGATATGTTGATCCTCCGGGGAGGCTGCTCAGAGCTTTGGACTGCCAAACGACTTCAAGCTGCTCTCACACGCCAGAACGCTGTCCACAAGGTCAAATCTATCGCTCTTTACGCAAACCACGCTGATTTCGGCAACCTATTATCCTCAATGAAAAACTTGCCCAATCTTGAGCTCGTTTTTGTCGTGGTTGCAGATTCACTGGAAAATGCAGTCTATTTGTGCAATCCAGTCAGACACTGGAGAACCACTCACATGGGTCCCGAGGACCGCATCAGCCAACTCCAAGAAGTCATGTATGAAGATATCGGATGCTACATGAAATATCCGCTGGATATGGCTTTTATAAGTAAGGGGCATATGATGGGAAGTGGTTTGGATTCTTGCAAGACTTTGTCAGATCTCTTCAAGGCCCTTCCAGGCGACGGGGAAAGATTGCGTTACAAGGATGCAGGAATGATGAAGGGGCTCATGCATGCGCTGTGTCGTGAAGATAATGGAAAATGGGTCTGTCCAGTAATTCGTGTTGTCAGAGAAGCCAGTTACCGTACATTGGATGTGCGGCCTACGTATTAGAATGGGTTTGAGAGTCGTGGGTTGAAGTGGTATCGGTGAGAATTTCAGAAGTGGCCACAGGTTTGTACTGCGAGGAAACATGGTGTTGGAGACGCCTGTCTCTTCTCCGCGTACTTGTCTTAGCTACCTTGATGAGTTTTCAAGCGTGTTTCTGGGGGTATGTGTAAGTTTGGTTTGGTTCTGCCCTTACCATGGCATCATGACATCCCTTGTTTTCCGTTAGTAGTATGAGGAGTAATAAATTTTCTATGCCCAATGACTATGTGATACCAGCTCGCAGGAAGATTCGTAGATGCTGAGCCGCCCTGTTTAAAGATATGATGCACTACTATAAAGCGTTGTTACTGAATCTTCTTTATTTATTATAGGACTTTGTGCAGTAGTTCTCTTCCATAATTTAAAATAGATGTATGACGTTTCACAGATTCCGCCTTGAGTGTAATTACGTCAAGCTCAGATAAAAACATGGCTAGACATCCAGTACAAAGCTACTGTGAGATTGCTGGATAGCATAATGTAAAAATGGTTTCATGCCCAACAAGCTACTATAAGCGAACTAAATTAGTACAACGTTTTTTTTCCACACAACAAGCCCATTTCCAACTGCCAACAAGCTTTCTACCAAAAAGATTCAAGATGTGGCCCGGAATGACTACAACAATTCTCCTACGATGCGAATACACGCAGAACCTTACCGTCTATTTCAAAGTACTGGTAGAACGACCAATTATTGTCAAGTGCCTGAATCCACCAGGAGTGTCTATCATACAACCAAACCTACCAGCACCAAACATAGCAGACATGCTTGAGATCAATGGTCTGACACAGGCTGTCATTCGATTTCTCAACGACGAGTTTCGAAGCTGGCAAGTGGTACGCACTATTATTTGAGAGGCGGATAGCTGATATTTTTTGGGTCCCTACATTCGGCTATTTTTCCAAAAGGTCATGGATGTTTTATCAACCTGTATCTTGTGAAGAATGGGAAGGCAGCAGAAGGAAACACTGATCCTGAGTTCAATTCAGTGGAAGAAGAATCTGATGCTGATTCTAGTTCTGATTTGAACACTGAGACGATACCTATGTCTGAATCAAATTGAAGTCATTACCGGGGTTTTCGGTTAAATTATGTCGACAACTCGACATGGTGTGAACTTTTGTATCTTCGTACAAATCTAGGGTTTCGAGAAATAAACAACATTCGCCTGAATCTTATGTAATAATCTCGCCCTCAAAGAGTGTTCTAACTTCTAATTGCTGATAATTGAATGGATGTGCACGCCGGACATAATCTCGATTGAGGTGATCGTCTGGACTGGGACTTCTCTATCGTCAAGGAATCAAACGATAGAAGCAGAACAACAAGTACAATGGAGAATAAATAATGCCAAATAATCAGAGTGATTTCTAACAATATATCTACACTTTGACTGCTTTTGAAGATGTTACAGGCTGGGTTCTCCAATGCAATTGCTATCCGATTGGAATAACATAGCCTCCGACCAGGCATCGAAGTCTACACAAGATTCACAAATGAGGAGGTAATACCGAGAATCCTCAGCCGCCTATATTGAAGAATTGAAATTACTTGGGCCCCCATTGCCTGCTCTCTTCAGTGATTTACAGTCGACAGTTTGATATTCCGTTTATAGTTTACTATCGATACTCATATAGAGCTTAAAAACACAGCAGATTCTATCCAAAAAAGAAAACCAAAAATATCCGACAATCCAGACCAAGAGAGAATGATTGATCTCTGGGTCACTGCCAAATCCCCCGGGGCTCTTCCGCCATTGGAACGGATGTTTAGTGGTTTTATCGAACTTCACATTCCCGTCATCAACCAGAGAGCGAGTTCCAAACCCGCAGACATAGTTTGACTTCTGAGGAAGCAGCTTCCCAAGCAGCTGGCTTACTGGATTAAGGTGATTAAGAAGAATAGTAGGCAGGCGGAACAATCTTGTGCTACAAAAAAACCTATCATGCTAACCTATAGCTACTGACGGCGTCATTTTGCGCACGATAACACGCTACTTCCCCTTGAGATGAGGTTTATTCTTTCAAGGATGGAGTTCTCTTTAATCGTCAGAGAACTGCTGGTACCTTGTTACATGCTCTCATTTTTCATCGTCTTGCTTTTCTCACCCCCTTTCCTTTCCTTTTCCTTTTTTAGCTCGTCGTTCTTCTTCTTCTTCAGCCGCCAAATCATCTTGCATTTCCCGCTCTTCTTGCGCTTCCCTCCTCCTTGTCTCTCATTTCTCTCTCTCTCGTTCTTCTTCCCTTTGCTGGAGGTCCTGCTCATACTTTGCAGTCTTTTCCGCGCGTTCCCTTTTCTGTTCTTTCCGGCTTTGAGCAGTGTCATTCCACGCTTTCTCTTGTAAAGTTTTGGCGTCGTCAATATCCAACTGATGCAACTTTTGATCAATTTCTCCTCTGGTAATGGCCTCGTGTGCTTCAATCAGCTCTTCTTGCTCAATGCCAGCCTGTCGGTCCATATAAACATCAACCCAGTTTTCTAAGATATACTTCTGGTCTTCGGTGAGTTCTTTACCGTCTCGTTTTAATCTTAGTGCACGTTGGAAATCCCTAACACCTGGAGTCGCCACAGGAGGGTTCCTAGATCCAAACTTCTTCGCGATTTTCTCTTCCTGTTGATCTATGAGGTTACCCTCCTTAACAGTATTGTCCTTCATCGCTCGCTTTTCTTCCATTGTCCATGCAGTATATGGATGTCTTGTATTACACTCATCGTAATTAACCCCATAGGCCTTTCCGTGCATGATAAAACGCTCATTAAATTCGAAATCATCTCCATAAACTGGCAGATCCTGGGCACGACGATACGCTTTATCAGTAATATCAGCGTCAGGGTTCGCACGAAGTGCCTCCTGCCTCCAAAGATTTCTTTTATATCGGTATAAATAGTATTGACCTTCTGGTTCAGAAGTGTCCTTTTCTTTCGAGTTGAGACGAAATTCCATTGATGCTTTATCTTCATCTGTAAGTTCTTTAGGACTGGGGGGTTTCACAGTCTTCTTTTGTGTCCGAGTAGTCCTTGTCATTGATGGTGTTGTTTTCTTGCCAGCTTTGGTTCCTTTATAATCCGAATCGTCATCATCGCCTTCATCATCGCCATCCTCGTCATCCTCGTCGTCATCGTCATCCTCGTCATCCTCGTCTGAGGGCTTTGAAGGTTCTGAGGTTCTGAGACTTCTGAGAGCTCGAATGGTGAGCTCGGGGAAGGCAAAATTTTAAAGATAGGGGTCTCTGGTTCGGGGAAAATTTTGACTTTTCTTACTCCATTCAGCATCGCCTCATAGTCGTCCACTCCCTTTTTGATACGTTCCGCCATCGACTCTGCAAGCGTTCTTTTTATTGCAAGGTACTCCTCATCCGAGTCATCCTCAGAAGAAGTATAGTTACCGCTCTTCTCGCCTCTGTTCCCAACCAACTCCCCCTTAGGACTTGGGACCGGAGACTTCTCACTTTCGTCAGTCTTGGGCGTCTGCTTCGGGCTTGCTTCTGAGGCCTTGTCTCTTCCATCGCCCTCGTCCGGCTTAGGACGTCCTTTTGGACTGCTCTTTGGACTTGCTTCTGAAATTCCTTTTGGACTGCTCTTTGGACTTGCTTCTGGAATTCCCTTTGGGCTCCCCTTCGGACTTGCTACTGGAATTCCCTTTGGGCTACCCACTGGACCTTCCCCCGTGGACTTGTTGTAGTTTCTTCTTATGGCTCAGCTAATTTTGATAAGAATCCCTTTTTTCTTTGCTTCTCACCAGCCTCATTAGCATAGTACAAAAATATACTTGAACAACATCTCTGCACCATTAAAACTATAGTACAGCTATACGAATTGTATCAGCTTGTGGACGTGTCAACCAAGAATTTCTGGTTGTTCCAAATACTCGACGAACTTCTGCATCTCTTTCGCCCCATACCAATGACCCAGACCCTCCTCAGGAACCCACTTGACTTTCAGCTCGTTCTTCGGTAACCCAAAGGGAGATCCAGGTGGGTCACGGAACATATAATCTGCCCCGAGACTCATCACAACATCTCTCGCCTCGACTCCCCATTCATACTTAACTTTCTCATCCGCCATCCCATGCGCCAGAAAGAAATTTCCCCTAAGATATTCAATACGATCGTCTGTGCCGAACATTCTTAGACCCTTTGGGGCCCCAAGCATTCCTCGAATGGTATTCGCAGCGGCCTCCCCAACTTTCTTGGAATAGGCTTTCCAACCCTCGCCCTTCAAAGCATACTCCTCCATAGCCTCCAATATCTGCCGCCGAAAAGGCAACCAACCACTCAGACAACAACAGGCCCTGGCAAGATTGATATTTTCGTCCCGTGACAAAGCACAGATGAGTGCCATTGCAGCCCCCTGACTAAAACCCCCAATCACAACCTTTGGTACTTCCTTTTTTCCGTTGTCGTCGTGCCTGTTCTCAACGTTTATGACACGCTTCAATCTTCCGTATTCCCACTCAACGAGTTTTGAGAGGAAATGAAAACTCTCACGCATTCCCGTTGCACTTTCATGTTCGCCAATCGTACGATCGCTAAAATCATGGATATCGAACCAGGCATTCGTCACTTTCCCACCAAAAACAGTCGTTTCACGCGGCGCACCGGTCGGGAAGATAAATCGCGTGTGAGGAAATCGTTGAGGCAGACTTGTTTCAAAGACTCCCATGGAATATAGCAGGACGGAAGGGAATTTGAAATGGAGAAGAGAGGATGCAAAGGAGGGGCCATCGGTAGATGTTCCGTGGAGGAGGATGATGGTGTTCTTGTGTTCTTCTGAGAGGGGCCCGACAACGTGGAGAGGAGGGTATTTGCGGCATCCTGTTGCATGGGGTTCTTTTCTGGCGATTTTGTCCCAGATCAGATCGAAGTCGATGGTGTGGATTTTGGGGGGGCCTGACATGATTACAATTTTTGATGATGATGATGATGAAGTTTACGAAAGTGGCCACTAACGGTATCAGTTAAGATAAAGAGGAGATGGCTCAAATCTCTCCTATCACCACGCTCTGAATGGGTGGTGCCTGCCGGGAATTTGGAGTTGTTGTTGACGGTCGTGACTTCCCCCAATGTTGACCTCAGTAGCTCCGATCTCGGAGATGCTCGTGCAAAAGCCAGCTTTGAGTCTCGAGTGGTTGCTTGGAAATTCACATTCGACGTGGTTCTTGGAGTGGTTACTTGTCGTTCTTGCACTTCAGTCAAGTGTCGTAGTACTTTATTCGTGCAGTCCCGCTTTCGCTAGGCTCAAAATCCACAGTACAGAGAGGTAAGAGGTTCAAGGAATAAGGTGGTTTGAGATGACCTTTATGTGCAAGTATAACCTTTTCGCGATTCCTACGGATATCTGACTTTCAGATGGCTTGTGATAATCTACGAAGAAGTTCGCATAGGTTGCAGAAAAACTTACCAGGTCTTCCACGATGCGCTGGCATACCCACCACAACCTACCTTCCACCAACCAGAACAAAGGAAACATTCATCTCACTCAACATTCCAAGCAACCAATTTCTCGCCATTGACTTAGCTGACTATGTCTTTCTAGTAGTTTAGCTTTTCTGCAGAAAACTAACGTATCCATTTTCTTTTTGAAAACGAATGCTCGACCCTTGTATAACAACGGGGAGTTTGGCAGCCAAAACTTCGACTTGCTAACAATAATGCATCTTTTCATTTGATTATTTTCTTGATCGGAGTAAGGAGAGTTGGGAACTAATGCTCTCACTATGGTATGGTACGTAAGTGGGTACATATCGCTACATGACCTAGCGTCACAACCAATGATACACGGAAATGGATTCCGGAACGCTTTTTACTAAAGCTAACATAAACATATTTAACAAATTCACAACTCAGACTACTTTGCAATCAGACTTCGGAGGTGGGAAGGAGTCAATCAAGTCAATTATTGTAAAGAAACATGGAATGCGAGAGGCAATTTTCTCGGCTCGTCATAGAGAATACCATAGAGACTATCTGTAAAACCAAATCATAAACCTCCTTGTGGGATTGAGGCTCATCTCCTGACTGATTCCAGTACCACCAAGTGCGAGTCACGTAGTGACTGGGGCTTCAGTCATTACCGACCCCCATGCTTCCACGGCACCTGTCCATCCACACTTTGCTCCTTGCAAATTCAGTCCCCACAAAGCTCTGAAATATCACAACTAGTATCTCTTTGCTTCGGGCATGATATCAAACCAATGACCGCTAAAAGGATCTTTGAAGTTTGGGGTATTTTTTCCAAGAAGGGAGATAGAGTTCATGGTGATATGGACCCACTGCAACAACCATTCAGCACCGCCGGGCTTGTTGAGGATTTTTGGTACATAACCTCGTTCATCTTTGCCAAAGTAAGGCTCAATAGCAGCCATGACAAGAAGATCTTGGAGCGAATGGCCATGGCGCAAGGAGAAAACCGACTCAATATGGTCATCGCTAAAGAATTTGTGGTTATTGTGTTTGCCGTATTTCGTGACAATATGTTTGACCGCTGAGGTAATGTAGAGTTCCAGGTTGGGGTCGTGGACCTGCCAATGCACCATCAAATGGGCCAGCTCTATCATATTAGAAACATCATTCTTGTGATGTGACTCTAGATCACTCCAAACAAGGTCTTCACGATACCACCAATGAAATAACATGGCGACACTCTGAGGAGAGACGATACCCGGAATTGCCTTAATCTCCAATGGTTCAATGGTTATTTGAGTCTCGTTAAGCAGATTTGCCCAGTAAGGGGATCGAGCTTGAAGAAGGGGTAGCGAAATCAAGAATTCTTCGGGCGACACTGGCTCTCTGTCTCTGTAATGCGTTGGCTTTCGTGTAATTTTCAGAGCACTCAAATAGCTTGCCAGACCACGGTTTTTATTTCCGGTTGCACTTTGTGGTTTCGGCTTCTCGATCGTTTCATGCGTCGCCTTTTTATTCCCAGATACTAACAAACCCGCTTTGTATTCCTTGGCATCGTAGCTATAGCTAGTGTCGGATTCGCTGGTGTTGGCTCGCACGATTATTTTTTCATCCGCGGAATCTCTAGTCTCTGTCATGGCAAGTACACCCTCATCCTCCTTTCGTGTCTTTTCCACAACTACAACAACCACAAAGGGGCCTGAGATTAGCGGAAGAGTATTCGCAGTGAAGTCGGCAGGCGAGCTTTTAAAGGGGTAGCTGTTGTATTTGCCTTTGTCTGCTGATAGCGGAAGCTTTCCTGCAGGAAACTGCGGGTAGAGCATTTTCCGTGGAGTTTCCTTTGACATTTGGTATGGTAGGTAAGTATGGCTTGTTGTTCAGTCAAAATGTCGGGCGATCCTGAACCTGACCACGCGTCGTAAAGAGCTTGCCAGTGAGACTGGTGTTCTTGTTATTGCAAAGTTGACAAAAAGTGTTCAGATGTTCTGTTGTTGTTATTTTACGTTGCCTAACATGTAGGTGTGGAGCAAAAGCCTATAATTCAACTGGGAGTGGGGCAGTATGATAGTGAATTAAAATGACTATTCACCTGAGGTTGGCAGCACTTTGAGCTCAAACACAATATTCACCTATTGGCTAGGCTATATAAGCTCTCGCGTGGCTCTTCAGGTACACCACACCTTTGCAAAGGGTTAGCAGTGAATTTACGGTGGATCGGATAATTATTGTTCCGATCTGTTGAAGTTGTCAACACAAAGGTTTCTTCTTGTTTAATTTGACAGGCCAGAACGCCATTGAGATCGAGAACTCGCGCATCACATACTCTCTGTTCAACAATGGCACAACAAAACTCGATACCTTACCTGATGCCATTGAAAGTCTAAGCGAGATCTACGAAGCCCAGGAGTCCACCGGTTATACGCCACGATGGTATACGCGATACTTTGACGCTGTACTTTCCCTCTACGCGACTCCCAATATCACTTTACGGCTTGTTGAAAAGGTTGACGAGAATGGCCAGGAAGTCGTTTGCACTCCCACCATCGCCGGTCTGCCAGCCCAGTACATGTAAGCTAGTGATCCTCGCCTCTTCCTTTACGCGTCAAATACAGGTCCTTGAAATACTCGTGCTTCATATCTTCACTTCATAGCTTGCTCGCAAATGGAAAATACCTGTTGCTAATATTATTGTGAAGTGTTCCTAAGGGACTTTTGACTAGAAACTCGCCGGTATTACGCGCAATGTTCTCGGATCAGTGGATGGAGGGACGAAATGGAATTATCAACGTTCCAATCATGAAAGGAGTCATATCTAAGGCGTCTATGGAGATGTTTCTATTCTTATGTCTCAGAGAAACACTACCTCGCTTTACTGCAGATGAAATTCAAGACCAGAAGCGATATATCAGCGTTCTCTTGGAGGTTGCCCGTCTTTCCGATATGTGGAGAATGACTGTTACAATATCCCAAGAGCAGCCATTTGGTTATTTGATTGCGGAGCAGATTCGGGGATTAATCATTGCGGGACGTTCCGCGCTTGAGCGGTCGACACAATCACCAGAATGCACAAAACACATCCCACACAGCCTGTTCTATACCCCGAAGCATTTGGATTCAGCCTGGATACTACCATCAGGACACCCTGTTCGAGAGATGTTCCTGTTGGCGGCGGTGGTTCCATATCTCCTCAGAATGAAAGACGACTGGGCCTTGGTGGCAATTTTGGAGAAGGAAGGGGCTGCAGTGAGATTGCTTGAGCTCGTTGGGGATACTTTGGCTGAGATCGCGCGAGATACGGTCAGGCACGAGATTTTTGATCCCTTTTCGAGGGAGATTTGGGACTGGATTGTATAATCTATTATGTATTGGACGGAGCCTTTTGGTGCTAGCATGCACTGTTGGAAGTGGCCGACGCTAAGCATAATGTAGAGTGTTGAAATAAGAGCTTTTTTTCAAGTCCCAAGGCAGTAAAACTTCGCGATCGTGTTGTATCTTTGGATTTGGCCATATGTTCGAGTAATATGTGGCATGAAGTGGCAATACATGCCTCGCGGAGTGAGATGGTTCCAATTTTCACGACCTGTCCGTGGGAATTGCGGTCCTCAGATAATTAAATTAGTATTTCCAACAACAGGATCTGACGAAACCGTAGTCAAGGTTTGATCGTGGGCATTACAGAGCGCCTCTACAGTTTGAGTAGCTGTATAGCAGCTTCTGAACTTTCCTCCCACTCAACAACCAAGCGTTTGTAATAACCCTGCCTTTATACTGCTACTCTCTCAATACACCAGTATTCTAGTATGCTGACCCTTCCTTCTTCTCAGCTTTGGCACATGAAAATGGTAACGAAACGCTCGCGTGCTATGGCAACAAGAAGTTTTGATTTAGCGAGGCTTATCACGTGATACATAATACAGGGCTAACTTGGAAGTATCTAACTAACCATCCCTTAGCCCAATTGACTCAGGTCTACTTATTGAAATAAGTCGTTCCTTTACACTATCTTTCAAGACTCATACTCTCTTTTTAGATATTGATTATACACGAACATGAATCTTTTCTTAGAGACTATTGCTAGATAGTCATTCCAATACTTTCTTGACAAATCAACTGACTCCGATACTCAGATCACTGATCAATGATAGGTGGGAATCTTATGTACCAGCGGCACGGTCACAGATACAGAGACCCTTTTCCACTTCGACCTTATTAGCCCTCATCCTGACCTATATCCCGCGTGATTCAATATTCATACCTCTCGAGCTCTGCTCTCGTACCCTCGCCTGAATTCTTGTGCTTGTCTTCATAGCTTGATATGTGACCAAAATGTATCTTGCTATGTCCCACTTACCAAAAGCAGGGTTATCAATCTTTGCGCCAAAACAACTGGGAACCAGCCGAAGTGACCAATACTCCGAGTTTGAAATTGTAAATACTGCCATTAATAACTCCGTACTTCCATACCCATGAGTAAAGTCATATTGGGTTGAAAGGGTATTGGGTACTGAAGGTCATGGAGAATTGATTGCATTGTAAAAGGTAGCTATCTAAGGTGTTTATATAAAGAGTGTAAGGTTTAGGCAGACATGAAGCATTTAGGCAGCAGAGCTATAAGTGGATCAAATAAGGAAGTGGAGCAAAAGAGAAAGTAGACCCAGCACAACAAGTCAAAAGGTCCTTGCGGGAAGGATTCGTAATACTAATCAGAAGTAAGAAGGTTAAGGTTATTAAGGTTAAAAGTCCCCCACTAGTTCCCCCACTAGTGGTAATAGCATCCTCCACTTCTTAGTAAAGAACACGAACTAGGTGTAGCTGATTTTCAAAGGTATATTGTTCTTGACCACGTCATGAGAGTTTTATGAAAAATAGCTTTCTCTATTAGTGAAAATCCGAGAATTTTATCTTTGACTTGACAAAGACCGGAAAATTAACCAATTCAGATTCCATTAACTAACAATCAAGCTAGTGAATAGAGAATAGGACTTCACACTCTCTTTCAACTTGTGCTACTGTATTTCTTAGTGAATCAGAAAAGAATATTTTGCTAGGATGAGGTACCGGAGAGTCACTTGAAACATTAGGAAGCTTTGGCCTCTAGGAACATTCACTTGAAGACATCTTCGAGTCTAGAAGGTTCGCAATGTAATATAGAAGCGTCTCATTCAAAATCGAACTAACTTATAGCTATATCAAGCATTGTCTTTACCTGAATAGAGAACTATTCAATAGTCTGTAGAGAAACTGTATTAGTTAAACGTATATAAGCTTAGGGCTAACGTATTTACTAGTAAATACGGTTACGACTTTTTTTTCTTTTCTATCGATAATAATATAGTAGCGTTTTATTTAAATAATTTACTCTCGCGTTTCTATAAGCCACTTAAGTAGAGTTAGTAATAGTAATTTGACGGAGTATAAACTCTAGTTGGTAAAATAACCTTAACGAATCTAATAAGAAATGCGCTCGTAATTGAAATTCTACTCAGCGTGTTAAAGAAAATATAAATGTTTTAGTAGTACTTACTTACTACTTAAGAAGTACTTAAGTAAGAGAAGGATAAAGTAGAGTAGAGTAGAAATTCCCTTTTCAAAAGAAATCTCGTGATATTATTATGAGGTATCATATCAATGAACACGGCAGGAAATTATAGACTTGCTTTTTTAATGAAATAACGCGGGTTATCCGACTAATGCACTCTGTTATCATCGCTTACGCCGTAGCAGGGGAGTGGACGATCCGGTCGGAATAATTCTCGGGCGATTTTCGGCTGTTCCAGTAGATTTACAACTCAAATAGTGTTAAGTTAAATAAATTAGTAACAAAATTCCCATGAGTATAGTAGAGTACGTGCTAATCCTCTTCTCAAATACTTAACTCAATATGCCGCTACATCTTTACCACGTGATCTTTACTGTAAACAAAAGTTCCACGCTTCGGGGTTCTGGAACTGCGGGTGCGGGGTACATATTAACTAGCGAATCTGGGGTAGAAAACTTAGACCCAAAAATGTGTTAGGTTCAGTGAGATATTACCATCCAATTGGTAGTGCCAAACGATCTACCGAAAAGAAAGTCCTGATATTGGCATAGATCCGTCGGAAAATCGACTAGGTTCCCTACTCGCTCGCAGCCGTCCCAGTAAAACGGAAACGTTGCAGAAAGCGGCTAAGACAATAGGTCCCTTTGTAATCTCCAGAAATTATTCCATTTACCCGGTTCCATACAGAAGGTTTGGAGATGCCGGAAATAAGGTTGCCACTCTAGTTCTTTGATGCAACTCCTAGATCAAATTTGACAGGCCTTTTTCTCTGCAGGTCAGCTTAGGAAGTGAGGTTATTCTTGATGTTTGGCTGGAGAATACGAGTAAGCCACAATAATCTTTTGAGACACCAACTTTCAAGATTTTGGTCAATCCTTTGTGAAAGCTGACCGGACATTTATTGAAGTGGCAATGAACTGATCCCACCGAGGTACAGGCCAAGCTGCAGGAGGGGCTGGTGGCGGACGCTTGAAAGAGTGATCATCACTTGGCTGACATGGTGATGGAGGCTTTTTAGGACGTCATCCGAGGCAAGAGAATAAGGTTTGCTTGATGTATTGGCAATAAACGTAGTTTACGATTGTCGTAGTTGAATTCCATGCAGATTTGGTGGTGTTTTAATGAGGTCTCCTGTTGCAACTTATAAAGAAGCATCTTTGTGCCACATGGAAGGAGTGGAACCACCTCTGGAGCCATGCTCGCCACGACAATTCAATTTTGCCATAGCCGATATCCATTCGCGATGCTTTTCATCCACAAAAGTCGTGTCACATTCAAGATTCGTTGCTTAAAGCAGCCTGTTGATGGGACATCGGGTGAGTTAGAATTGATTGAGTAATTAGTCGTGGAGAAGTGTTGATCGGCTGGTTCAAGTCTTACAGGGATTATTGTATCGAGTCAGAGTTGGCAACCGATGAGCGCTTACAGTAAGCGTAGCAAAAGATTTCTATTTCCCTGTTTAGTGTCATGATATGATTGATCCCAGAGAATGCGGGGTATCACAAGTACTCGAGTACTCACGGCGTAAAAAAACAAAGTTGTGTCACCCGGCTCTGCGGCATAAATCCACGTTCGTTGTTCCTCGAGACTAGAGCATCATTCTTCAGTTGCCCGATGCTTCCGGAGCAGGATGAGATGGTAATGACCATGCGAGTTCAATTGTATCTGGCGTTCGGCAAACTCGAAAACCTTCAGGCTTCAGCTATACCAAGTAGACCTGCTACGGAACAAACGATCGCAACATTCAATATATGGTAATGCATTGCGATTTATGGTAATGACACTATCCAGTGCTTGGAAATGATTGCAAGAATTGAAGGTATCCCCAAAGGAATGGTTTTATTGGCGATACGATGTGGTGGTGTTGAGCAATTGAGCAACCATGAAAGCTGGGAAGGAACACCGGAGGTTCCAATAGGCTGATTTGGGGAGAATCGGAATCCCTACCATATCCCCACCTTTACTTACCAAATCAGTACTAGCTTGAAGCGCCTAAGCAAGTTTGGCGGAAGCGTGCAACCACTTTGACGGTGCATGGACCATAGTGCAGTTACCCCAGCCCAGCTTGTTTCCATTCCAGCATCTTTTCGTCATGCTTCCATCCTATGACAGAAAGACCTGCAAAGTTCGGAAATAATTGCTTGCCAACAGTACCATTAGCACTTTCAACCGGGGAATAATCATGCCTAAATGCTGCCATTTACTACACCAGTCAGTGCACGACAGGTCCAGAAGGAAGCGAACTCCCAAAGACTGATCTGGATGATGGATCCCCGCCACGTAGTATAACTGTTGGACCCTCAAATCTGGAGACCCCTAAGCACTTCGGGACCGGGAAGTGGAATCCCCATTCCTCCGCAATACCCTGGCCGACGGTTTACCTGTCAGGATTTGGAACCGGGTCACAACGACCGACACGATTGGCGAGAGACGTTGGAGAGAGGGTCCAGCATTAACAATGTCTCCACTGCTGTGCTGTGGCTTCACGGTTCGGCAGGACAGAAGCAGCATGGCTTCAACAACACGGAGAAGATGCACATCCGGAGCTAAGCAAGGTATCTATGTACCTACGGGAAAGTCGGCGTAAACTAGTAGCAATCCCGAGTACTTTTGCGGGGGTCTAATGTTGATATTTGTCAGGGTTTTATGACAGCCATGTCTGAATAGTAACACTGGACTGGTGATCTCGAATCCACACCTACTTCGGTACCTTTGTCAAGCTTCGTCCAAACAGCCTTAACATCCCAGCAGACGAGATGATTTCATCTGTTGGTATCTGTTGGTAACAATCTCCAACCTGCAGGTTGTGGTGGCTTCTCTGGCTTCCTACTGGAGGCGCTTCGCTTCGCTCATTCACCATTCGTCCCTTGACAATGGATCACCAATCAGCATTACAAGAATTGCCAGTAAGATAGATACTGCTTTGTAGACGTTTCCCTTTATGCCCTACAGCATGTACCCTCAGAGCTCTTGGAACGCTACAAGCTTCGCTGCTACCCTAGTCGGCTGCGCCGGTAAATATCCTATATATCACCCACCGCCTCTCGTGCTCTCTCTTTTTTCCTCAACCGCAAAGTATCCATCACGATACATACAAAAAGAGCGCGTTTTCTTTTCCCACAACAATCTCGAGGTCGCTTTCGCATCAATTTGCTCAAAAACAGACTCAATTGAGAGGAAAAATAGAAAAACAGTTCGACACTCTCACCTTCATATTCTTGAGCAGCATCACAATGGCAGCCACAACAGCAACAGAGCCTTCGGTCAACAAGGAATACGACGCTGACCACACAGCTGTTCACGACCACGCGCCAACTAATGGAACTCAACGAGGATATGGTGCTTATGGTGGAAACCCTCTTGCGCATATAAACACCGGAGATTCCGCTCGTTTACCAGCATTTGGAGGAGACTTTCAACCCGGTCTCTATAGACCAGACCCCCACCGAAAATTCGCAAACCCCGCGCCATTGGGATTGGCCGCTTTCGCGCTCACCACTTTCGTGCTCTCACTAATCAACATTCAAGTTCGCGACGTGACGGAGGCAAATATCGCTGTTGCTTTGGCTTATGGATATGGTGGACTTGTTCAATTGCTTGCTGGGATGTGGTAAGTCAAATTCACCTTGATTCTTTTGTTTTTATACAAACCAGTACTGACCAATCATCCCAGGGAAATGGCAGTAGGAAACACTTTTGGTGCCACAGCTCTCTCATCATACGGTGGATTCTGGCTCTCCTACGCAATCATCTCAACCCCAGGAGGATTCGGTATTGCTGCAGCATATAGCGGTGCCGGAAAAGGCGTCAATGATTTAAACAACGCGCTAGGATACTTCCTCATCGGCTGGTTCATCTTCACGTTCATCCTCGTGCTTTGCACGCTCAAATCGACCGTAGCATTCTTCATGCTCTTCTTCACTCTCGATCTCGCATTCCTATTCCTTGCTATTGGGCATCTGGAAGCCGACGCGACCGGAAAGGTCTACTTGAACTCACAGAAGGCCGGTGGTTATTTTGGGTTATTTGCAGCGTTCTTGGCGTGGTATAATGCGTTGGCTGGTATTGCCGATTCTTCGTAAGTTTTTCTCTTCCTGATTCACTCTCCGTTGTTCGCTTCGCTTTTAGGTTGTAGAAGAAAGTTTTCTTTCTTGGACACTCAGCTGACAATTTCCGTAGCAACTCATTCTTCATCATTCCCGTGGCACATTTCCCTTGGTCTGCCAAGGGCCGTGAGCTAAGAGCTGCCAGTGCCAACAAGACCAAGAGCGAACGGGACATCGTCTAAATCTATAAAAAGAAGTCGCATTTGCTTGATTTTGAATTTGCTATTTTTGCGTTAATTACACAAGCTCTGTTTCGAGGGGAGGGTAGGATGGAAAAGTATACTTGAGATACAATGGTGTCACGTAGGACCTAGGGTTGTATAGTGAGTTTGGTGACGGTCAGCACGTAATTTTCGGTTGGTAGATAAGGCAAAGGAGTGGATAACGGTACGCTCGAATATTTTGGGACTTACACATTTATTAATTTGATGGACATGAGATTTATGGTTGGTTGAACGATGGTGTTTAGTTTGAAAAGCTTACCTTAGTTACAAATGCAATCAAGGCGATGAGATTGTCTAATGGTCTCGTGCATGTATCGCAGGCCTTTTTCTATGATTCAAACAAGTCGTATGAACCCATAAGTCTAGCCAGATCTGCAAAACTTACCAATCAATAAGCTGAAGCCATCCCCATCCACATTACCCTTCTTAACAACGCATCAAATCTATCATTCAACTCCTGCGTGACATCCATCGGGATATCCACACCTAGGAAATCAGCAAGCTTCACAAACTCCCTCTCAACCGCTCAATCTCCAAATTATAATCCCCCAACGTAACGGCCGGATCATCCAACACTCGTTGGTTGAATCCAAACCGTCCGGTGGACAGAAAATCCACCAATGAGGTGACGCTCGAGATGGACACTAGTCCCTCCTCTTCAAAAAGCTCAATTGGGGACGTGGCGTCTATTTCTAGAACCGTGCATAAAAAGGGCTTTTTTGGAGCAGCGAAATGGCGACTTGGATTGAGAAGATGGTGGTTCCCCCGTGTTGATTGGGAAGGGGGAGGAGGAGGGAACTGTGAGTGCGCGATCGTGACGAACTGGCCGGAGGATGCGGAGGGTTGTGTGGGGGACTGAGAGGTCTAGGGAGAGATTTGTGAGAAGGTTGGTTAGTTGGTCAGCCATTTCTTCTTTTTGAGATTGAGTTGGCTACAGTATTTGGGTTGGTCTTTTGAGGTGGGTTTCAGGTGATATTCTTGTGAATATAGAGATGTTGCGGAGTTAAAAATGATAGGAATGTCGGTTCTTAAAAGTTTGAAATCTCGAGGGACAGGTGATTGTTCTTGGTCAAAGACGATGAACAATGTTCTTTGCTTTCTTTGACTTGACTAGGTGTTCTTCCTTGTCGAGTTAAGTGACAATGCAGCCCATGAAGACCTCACAAAGAGGTGACCAAAGACTTAGAGAGCTACCATGAAAACAAAATAAAGTGGTTGAACAACGTGCAAGTTACTTGCGCATACTAAAGACTCGTCGCATGTGTCTTTCATAGACATGATCAAGTCAGTTTCCTATCCCAGTCTGCTAGATAAAACATCAAATTTATGTATAAGAATAACAAATGAACATTGAATTGGAATTGTAAGATCCATTCAAGGAAAGAGTAAACACAGATCCTCAACAGATGAGAACTGATGACGGGAAACTGAATAAAACAAGTTTTCCGTACTCTGTAAACACAACACTGGATATATCGCCACTACCGTACTGAATTATTCAGTTGCTTCCCAATAGTTGAAGAGATTGAACTATGACTTTCAAATACGTGTAGGCTACTGACTAGTAGACACAATGCCTCCCACGTCAAGCTTCCTCAAACCGCATGGACAATGGCGATATACTTCATCATTCCAAGAATAAGAGAATACCAAATCTCCCATGAACAGAAATGAAACAAAAAAGCGAGTGAAGAGACCTGAGAGTAACTCAGTGGACTGAATGTTTCGAACTAAACATCTTCCAACGCCTATATACCGTACCAATAGAGTTCCAGCCGTAAAAATCTCGAGTCTGTTATCTTGATACACAAAAAGTGATTTAGATTTGTTCTCAGAAGCCACGGAAAGTCTAGCTTCGTTCGCGGAGCTCTTCATATGGTACATACAGTACATCGAAAATGCACATCTTCTCCCAGGCAGCCATCACGTCAATTGGCCTCGGGACGAATCGTCCACCTTCAACCCCTCCTCACCAAAAGCTCAGAATGAACTAGTTTTAACGAACGCCTGAGCCATGCAGACGGATTCTTCGATTATCTTACAACCTTCCCATTTATTGTGAAGTCGACAGCACCAATTGATTGTGCCTTGCACAACTCCCTCCCGCCACGACTTGGGTTCGTAAATAATATGGAGGAGCAACGCTCACTTTCCTTGTCGCTGCTTGTGTTTTGGATTCAGGGAACAGATGATATAAACGTGTCCACGACCTTTCTTCCCTCCCTTTCTTCGCACGCTCTGTTGGGTGAATAGTTAGCCTCTTATTTACGGAATATTTCCAAGAACAGAATTTGGAGAGCGGTCATAGGATTGTGGTTTTCCTCGCTCTGACTCCAATCTTTCCTCCTCAAGTTCGAAAAAAACTCGCAGAAAGCCCCAAGAATAAATCTTCCCAGTCTTCCCAACCAAATCCCAAATCTCCAAACTACCCTCCCTCCCAACAACCCCAATCACACAGCCCCAAACCCCCTTCCTCTCCCCAAACCAAACCAAACCAAAAGGGCTGAAAGAACAAGAAAAGACGCCGACATACCTTACACCCCTCACACAACTTCTTAACCGAACTCCTAACCTTCATGCCCCTCACCTGCTGCAGTACCCCATATCCCCCAAGCCTCGCACTCGCACACCCCATCGCCGTCCTCCAAACCCCCATTCCCTTCCCAAACACCGAGGTTCGATTCGTCAGCGCAGAGAAGGAGCGCATCGTATTCTTCGCCGAGTCCCGGAAAGCAAGCGTGTGTATCGAGGAGGGGAATAGAAGGGAGCGTGTTGCGCGGAGCAAGGCTGAGGAGGGGATCGAAGGTCGCATTATTGGTGTATCGGTATTTTGCAGAGTTTGGATAGAGTAAGGGAGGACGATTGAGTGGTTTGGACCCTGGTGGGGAATGTGAGCGTTGTGGTTTGAATGATGATGGGTTGCAGGTCAAATTTGGTGGTGACTAGAATTGGGGATCCGTCGGTTTCGGCCTTGGATTTGGGGCATGAATATCAAAACAATCATCAGAAACAGAAAATCAAGTTCATTTCTACGTTTCACATTAACGAAGGATGTCTATGTAACTTTTACATCCTTCTCATCTTATCTTATCGATCATATGTCCCGAAACTGGCAAGGTCATGTAAATAGCAAATCGTACAGTACTCCCCAACTCCAAATCGCTAACCTCAGACACAACACAAAGACCAAAGTCACTCTTGATTTATGGTCTCAAGAAAGTCTTAAAAACATCAGACTCGGTACAGTCCTCCCAAGGATAACCAATTCTTTTCAAAAAAGATTCCAGCTCTGTAAGTTCGTCATTGGGACAGATGATTCCAGTAAGCACTTTACCGATATCGCTTCCGGCGTTTCGGTATTGAAATAGTGAGATATTGTATTTAGGTCTTAATGTCGTAAGAAATTTCTCGAGGGCTCCTGGTCGTTCGGGAAAATTGAACATGTATAAGCGTTCATGCTCAACACCTGAGCGACCTCCAACCAGGTATCGTACATGAGATTTGGCAAGCTCATCACCAGAGAGATCTACTGCTGTCATGCCACCATCTGCAATTCGTCCGAGCAATGAAGCAAGTTCAGCATCTCGTTGCGAGGCAGGAGAGGTGAGCGAAATACCAATAAGTATGTTCGCAACATCGCCAGTTGCGTAACGATAGGAGAATTCTGTGACCATATGTGGCATGATGGTTTTGATAAGCTCCGAGAACGCCCCAGGTCTCTCTGGTATAGTAACCATGATCAAAGCCTCCTTCTTTTCTCCAAGTGCCGCACGTTCTGCTACGAATCGGAGACGATCAAAGTTCATGTTGGCTCCGGATGCAATAGCCACCAACTGGCGAGAAGTATCTGCTGAAGGATTTGCTGCAACATATTTCTTCAGTCCAGCGAGTGCGAGAGCTCCAGCAGGTTCAACAATTGACCTAGTATCTTCGAAAACGTCCTTGATAGCCGCACAAGTCTCATCGGTTGTGACTTGAATGATCTCGTCCACCACATCTTGACACACTCTAAAGGTCTCTTCTCCCACATTTTTGACTGCTGCACCATCCGCAAAAAGTCCAACATCCTTCAAAGCTACTCTCTTTCCTGCCTGCAGTGATTGAACCATAGCATTTGCATCGTATGCCTCAACACCAATAATCTTAACATGTGGAGCGATGCGTTTGACGTAAACTCCAATTCCAGCAATCAACCCTCCTCCACCAACACAACAGAATATAGCTTCCAGCTTCGAAATATTCGTCTGTCGCAACAATTCCATTCCAATTGTGCCCTGTCCAGCTATAACATACGGGTCATCGAAAGGTGGGATATTTGTAAGACCATGGAGCTTCTCCAATCGTCCACACTCTTCCTTTGCTTCGTCGAAATCTTGTCCATGCAGTACCACCGAACCTCCCAGCCGTGAAACATTGAGATGTTTGATGCTGGGCGTGCCCTTTGGCATAACGATCGTAGCGGGTATCTTTAGTTTTCGTGCAGAGTATGCGACGCCTTGCGCATGGTTTCCTAGCTTCTGTTAGCCAAAACTACGCAAAGATTTGGAATGACTCTTACCAGCAGAGCATGCTACCACTCCCTTCCAGCTAACCGTTGGATCCAAATGTGACATTTTGTTGTAAGCTCCTCTTAACTTGAAACTAAATACGGGCTGCAGGTCCTCTCTCTTCAGTAACACACTGCATTCCAACCGGTTGCTCAAATTCGTGGCTGGTGTCAGTGGGGTCTCCTGGACGACTTCGTAAACACGAGAGGTGAGAATAAGCCGCAGATACTGTCAATTGATTTAGGTAAGCATAAATCTGAACCATGACAGGTCAATTAAGGTTGACAAACATCAGGAAAGCCATTTGGCAACAGGAATTCTGCAGGAACAACGCCGTCAATCTTTTTCCTGGGGGTTTCGCTCGGCGGTGACGGGTTGGAGGAATATTCTGTCAATGAAAGAGCATTGAGACTTGGAGTTCTGGGCCTCGAGGCTGAAGGTGTTGTGGTTCCGTTGCTGTTTGCTTGAGCATCGCCATGACCGTTGACCTGGGTACCATCTTCCATGCTTGCAGATATTGGTTGAGTATATTCGAAAGCTGGTGGGTGTTCGTGAATGATGCGGAAGTTTAGATTTGTTGATTTGCCATGAAAGGTGGATGGTGGGGCAGCATATTTTTGGGGCGATCTCGGAGCTATCCCTGTCATCGCCCCTCCCTTGAACGTTGCCCTGACCGTTGACGTGTCTCAGATCGGAGTTTACATCAATTGTTCCGCTCTCTCTTGCTGACTAATAGGTATTTTCTCCCCTATTCGTACTTACGCGAAGCGAAGGGATCCACCGACTCACTTACCTCAGGCGAAGATCACACCAATCACAAGATGAGTAGGTATGTTCATGGTGAACTTGTTCTATTTTGTCTGACAACACTTTTGTATTTTAATTTTTGAACACTAGCCTGGCTTTCCGCTAAGATAACTTCATTTCACTAGGATACCACTTCTTTACGGCAATCCCAAGGCGAGTCCCGTATGCTGGTTCGAAGAAAACAACTTACTTCAACCAAACGATGTTCCACATCTGCCTTGACATGTACCGCTTGAACATGGTCCGTCTCGGAGACTCGCTCCATGATACCCCCTTCCTCCTCAACACGAATCACATATTCTGCAACACTTGCCGCAGCAACACTAGGCCATGATCCCTCTTGTCGTTTCATTTCCCTCAGCAGCGCCACTGCTTCTCGCCGTATACGCCCATTGCGACATTTAACAGCGGTGAAAAATAATGGGAAGATAGCTCCCATCTCAAAAGTAAATATATCAGTCCCATTTTGCGTCCTGAATTGTTTCCCACCTTCATAGACTCTTTTCCCAAAGTCAACAATTTCTTGAAATGTGCTTCCATACTCATAATTTCGTATCTCTCCACCAAAGACCCCGGTTGCGATAAGTATTGCCATCGTTTTGGAGTACATCTGCAGCACGTAGATAGCTTCTTGTACTTTCTTCCTTGTCTTTTCGTCCAATGAGGCCGTCAGGTACTGAAAATTGACCTCCCACGTTACCAGCGCTTTTCTAGCTGCTTCCAATTCTTCGGCTGGAATAGGATTCGGCTCCCAATATGTTGCGATACGGAATATCCATTTGAAGTTGTGTACAAGACAGCTTGTCGCGTGTTCCAAGGATGGAATTCGACCTGAAGTATCAGTAAGACTTTGAGCTTGGCTGGATGTGTGTTCGTATGGAGCTTCATCATCTGCAAAGCTCATGGCCTGGAGGTCAAGTCGATGAAGTACTTGTACGACATCGGAGGGAATAACATCCGTCTCTATAACAGAACTGTCAGGTTGAGAGTCGTCTTTCATACTGCCTCCAGGACTTTTGGCGTTCAGCAGCTTAAGCCCATGCTGTAGATGCAAGCGAGCCATTTTGAAATCCCCGATCAAGTTTTCAAAACAGACGAAAAGGATACACGCCACTAGCCCTTGAATGAACTTATCCCTCCAGCCGCTGAGACTATCCGAAATCAATTTATGCGTATGACTAACAACCTTGTTATACTGTTGTAGAGCGAAACTGCGGGCTTTTCTTGGACACATACTTGGCGAAAGATAAAGATCAGATTTCGTAGCATGGAATCCTCGATGAAGAGCACTCAACTACCTTGAATGAGCCGCGAAATCAACAGGAGAAAATTCAAAGGGAACAGCTTACAGAACAAATCGCAAACAGCACAGCCGGCTCAGAAAGACTCAATTGCAACACCCTTCGAGACCAAAATTCGTTCCCAAAGTAAACGGGCGAAACCAACGAGGTGGAAGAAACGAAGAATCCGAAGAACTCCCTTTGAGTATCGTTCTCGAAGATGGGTAATGTGATGGCGGCAGTGGGCTTGGGACTGGGTCCTCTGCAAGTCCCTGGGCTACGTTCTCTTCCTCGTGCAGGGGACTTGTCGTACCCGTCACATTTTCTACCTGTGCGTGTACAACGGGTACAAGCAGGTTTAGTTTCATCGCACTTCACTTTTCGTTTTCTATTTTTGTACGTGCGGGTATTAGTAGACTGGGACGTCTAACTTCATTAATCAACGCACTGCAAGGATAGACTAACCTACACGTACTACAACCCGTCGTAGTACGAAGCTTGAAGCCTCGCAGAATGGGTGGATTCAAACTCATCGCCTCCACAGCTCAAGTCCTCCCTCTTTCCACAGCGTTGTGGAAGTTATGGACCCCACAATAATGAAAGATTGCGTGTCCGAACCCAGCAATTTGGCCACAATCGCGTGGTTCTCGGGGTATGGTACTGTAAGTCAACTTCTTCCCTTCCTTTTATTTTCTTGGAATTGCAATCAGTAGATGCCATGGCTGATAAATAAACGAACGGAGCGGTAGGATGTAAGCTTACCGTTTAAAAATGGTCGAAGGATCGTGGCTTCAATGCCAGGAATATTTTGTGGTGGTGGGGCGTGGGGTTTTTCTGCTTACACATTGCCGAGGAGGCCAATTGGGTAGACTGTAATGTTTGGATGGGAATCTAAGGTGAGGAGGGTGAGACCTTGGCCGTGATCCAGGAGATCGGGTGGTACGAAGCGAGGGTGTTTGTCCAAATGCTTTTTTTGATTTAGGTAGAGAGTCGGCGAAGCCTTTCTGGTGATAACTGACATGCCTATAGTGTTTGTAGGGTTGTAATTCGCTGGTAATGTACTTGTAGTAATGGTGTTGTAAGCATTAATGTCAAAAACAGTCGGTGCATCTCGTTTCTCTTAACAGGGACACATCGGGACTCGTCTCGTTGTTGTATGATATCTGTTCGGAAAATCTGACTAGATAAAGTTTCAAATGTCTGCAAAGCAGCAAAAGCAGAGCGTGATCTCTGGCAGATTTATATATATAATTGCTGCTATCATTTGCAGATTAAGAACTTAATCTGTTACTTTGGATCGTCAGCAACCAAAAAGTACATACAATCAGCAGTTTGGGCGCCCGTAAATCGACCCCCGGGGGTTTGGTATTTCGACTCCCTCCCCCCTCGCCTAATTGGCGGTCCGAGCTTTAGGTACGTTATTCGCAATAACTCTACGTTTCTTTCAACACTACGCCTCTAAAAGTATAGTAACCCCCTATCATCTATTTATAAACCTATCTATAAATATAAAAGGAGTATTTTAAAAAGAAATTAACTTAATAAGTATATTTTCAGGTAAGTAATTAAGTCTTATAGAAAGTCCGTCCGTAGCGATATTCGCTACGACATTACGATATTTTTTTTATTACAAACGGCCCTATCTATAAGTATTAGAAATAATAAATAATTAGAAATAAAATTAATTAAATTAAATTTTATAACTAATTATATAAAAAACCTCCTTTCGAAAGTTACAAGAGTCTAGGACGCTTATTCGCTCTTATAGAGCCTTTAGCTAAATCTATACCAAGTATTCTTATAATCTAGGAACAGCGCTTAATATACTTATCAAAGGCGTAATTAGTTTTAATATTAATAAAGCCCTTATAAGATCTCTATAACCCCTCGTTTAATTACTTGGTTCGCTCTACTAGGAGACTCTAGTAGTTATACTATATTAGGTGGGATATAGCGTAGAACAAGTTATAAGTAGGAATAGCTTCAAAGTCAAGTTTTAGTTACGCAGGTGGAAAAAAACTTTTATTACCCTACTACTAGCTAGAAAGAAATCCATTACCCTAAAAGGGAACTATGTTTACTACAAAGTTAAGGGTAGTAAATTTGCATAGGATTAGGCGAGGGGGGGGGAGTCGAAATACCAAACCCCCGGGGGTCGATTTACCGGGCGCCAGCAGTTTGAATTCTTTGTAATAAAGCACGTTGCTTATCACGATACTTGGAAACTCGACTTCTTTCAGTATTCTTCTCATGAGTTTCATTTGTAGACTGAGATAATTCTTAGAAGTTGGCTCCTTTGTCGATTTATTTTGGGGTTGATTTATTTTGGGGTTGTTTCTTCCTATTCTTGAAAGGTTCAGCAGGTACATTACCAGAAACGTTCATCTATTACTTACATAGGCTGATTTTTGATAACCTCTTGTCTATTGCTTATGTTTCACCGACTCATAAAAATGTATGGCAAATCCAAGCTTAGAAGGTAGCGCCAAAGTGGCAGAGATTCAGAGAATCCTTTACTATTTGCGTAACTTAGTTTAGTTGATATGTTCACTCTAGTAATTAGGACTTATTAAAGCAATTAGCCTAAAGGCCTTAAAATAGTTGAACAAACCATAAATTATCAGCTTACCCTATCAGAAATAAAGATGATCTCTACGACTTCTCTGGTTCGTTGCCAAATGTTTACCACCAAGGTTTACCCGTGTTTGATTGAATTGCTTCACTTCGATCTAGTTTTCATTAGTAAATACTGTAGATACATTGACAAATATTGAGAAAGAAACTGTTAGACTGATATTGAGGGCGCCGATCAAAAATCACATTGTTTCAACCCCATTTTCAAACCCTCGCAATACCATCGTGGCTGGGTGTGGCTGAAGAAACAGGGATAAGCTCTTCGGAAAAAAGATACAACCCTCCCGAAGAAATCATTACCTCACCACTTGACTGAACTCAGCTTCCCCTCGATAGTCAACATCCGAATATCAGTCCAACAATCCCAACCAGAGTTTTTCACACGCATATGAAAAAGATGTCGGGAAACCCTCTTCCCTCGTCCTTCGACGGGAATTCGTAAGTCGCACCACAATCAATGAATACACAGAAACCAGCTATAGAAAAACGGGAAAGCTAATCACCATACCACTCCCCAGAGATTTCTACGAAGAGAACAACTGGCAAAAACTCTCCCGACGTCTCAAAGAAGAACCATTAATTCCATTCGGTAGCTTTCCCCACCCCCCAATTCCCCAATCTCACCAACTTTCCCCTCTTCCCCTCTTCTCCACCCCTCATCTCATCCCATCTCACACGCACCATAACCACCAACTAACACCCCCAGGATGCGCCCTCACAGTCGCCGCCCTCATCGGCGCCTCGCGCTCCATCCGCTCAGGCGACCACAACAAAACCAACCGCATGTTTCGCGCGCGCATCATGGCACAGGCATTCACACTCGTCGCCATGGTCGCAGGGTCCATCTACTGGGACGCGGACAGGAAGAAGCGCAAGGAGTTCGAGGGCGCGGTGTCGGAGCGCAAGGCGAAGGAGAAGAACGAGTCGTGGATCCGGGAGTTGGAAGCGCGAGATCAGGAGGAGAAGGAGTTGAAGGCGTTGAGGGAGAAGAGGGCTAGGCGGGCTGCTGGGGAGAGGGTTGGGAAGGTGGAGGAGGTGGTGGAGAAGGGTGAGGAGGAGGGGAAGGGGATTATGGGGCGTGTTGGGGGGATTTTTGGGGGTGGGAAGGGGGAGCCCAAACCGCCTACTGCGAGTTCGATGGTGGAGGATAGTGAGAGGAGGACGAAGGGTGTTTTGGAGATGGTATGGGAACTTGCGAATAGTGGGAAGTGAAAAAAGCTATATCATTCAGTCTAATTTGGCATATACCTGGCGTTTCTTGGGAGTTTGGGTGTTTGGGTGTATATATTCCATATACATGTACAATAGAAGCACTACGAAGTAGCCAAAATGTACAAATCACTAAATAAGGATCCCTTGCGTGAGGTCCAGGCTGGCTTCGTGCCTTTGGTTTATCCATTGTCTACAATTTCCAAACGCTTTCTAGTGTTATCCACTCCGATTTGAAATGTCAATATCTGTCGCTATACGAATATCGAGTGAATACTCGGTATGAGTTATAGCACGCGAAAGTTGGCCTCAGGGCTAGCAGGGGCGCTAGCACCTTGGCACTACTATATCATAGCGAGCACCTACAACCTTTACTCGGTGTACACATCTGATAGTCGAATACGATACTATTCTATTTGTATCAACACTTTGTCTAGACTCTCTATTAGAGTTAAACTAACTAAGTAGTTTTAGTATAAAATTAAATATACTTTTAGATAAACGTTTTATTTTATTTATAAGTAATTTCTTAAATTATTCTTAGAACTCTATAGTATAAGTACCTATTAGAAAATCTATAAAGAACTTACTTATACTACTAGTTTTTAGTATAAATACTATAGGAAACCTACTAGTACTACTAGTTTTACTACCTATTACTCTATAACCTTTTAGTATAAATACTAAAGGAAACTCCTTTATTCTACTACTTCCTAGAGTAAATCTAATAAATATCTAATAACGTATAAGCTATACTTTCTAGAATACTACTCTATCGAATACTACTTTATATAGGTAATCTACCTAAGGTATATAGCTATTTAGGGGACTACTACTATCGGTTCTACTAGTTCTACTACTAAACCTATATATACTACCTTAATAATAGCTAGTCTATATAGGATATTAACCCCGATTCTTTAGTACTAATCCGATTCGGCTACTACTAATATTAGTAGTATCTATAGATAGATTAGTACTTTGGGTAATAATAAAGTGTAACGAATACTCAAACTGGCTAACTAAACTTGGCTGGGTGTTCGCTGGTTGGTATGCTATGATAAGAAGAAGACTATCGGGTTGTTCACTTGGAAGTGAACTCGTTACTTGTATCAAAGATGTCAAACTAATATGATAAGATTGATAACTAAGTTGAGCACGAAGCTCCTATCTAATGGCAGACGTGCCAGTCTTATATAGAACCTTCGTTCTCCTAAATCAGTGCTCGTCGCTCTGATCCTTTCTGATTCCTCAGAGGTCGTCAGGCTGACCACCTCTGATGCCAGTCGATCATGTGACAGTAACCAAAGGAAATCCCTGGATCGCTTAGCTAGCCTAAGCGTCTCTATTTTCCTATAAGAAACCTGGACGTGCCTGTGTGTGTGTGTGTGTCTATTTAACGTCTAGGCGGGCACGTACGCAAGTCACGTGCCCTTCAGTCCCCGTTGGGGCAAAAGACGCCAGGGGGGGGAGGCCCCTGGCTTCCTGTCTAGCTAGCTAGATTATATAAGAGTTTAAAGGCTGTAGCGGGGTTTACATGTAC